ATAATAATGATGATGATAATGATAATGATGATAATGATAATAATAATAATAATAATGATGATGATAATAATAATAATAATAATGATAATAATAATGATGATAATGATAATGATATTGATAATGATAATAATGATGATGATGATCTGATTATTTTGGTAGCTTTTGCTCAAAGTTTCATTACCTGGAAATCATTTAGTAATCCATATCTACGGTCACTTGAAAGACAAGACAATGCCTCTGTTTTATTGGCAAGAGTTGTATTTGCTAGCCCAGCAGCAACAATCCCTGTTGCCTCTCTAATATAAGTTGCACCAACTACCCAGGCCAGAAGTATATACACAAGAGAACTAATGACGATTGCAAGCAGAGTGCCTTTAGGGATAGCAGAATTGACATTCTTGAGGTCTCCTGAGATATTGACTCCAGCAAGAATACCTGTCGCTGCTGGGAAAAAGACAGCAAAAACAGAAAAGAATCCTTCGCCTACAAAGTCTGGCTTCATGTTAGTATAAAATGCATCCTTGTTGTAACCTACAAACCCCTTAGCTTGGCTTTCTGCATTTTGAGGACCAATAATAGACCCAATAAGCACATTAAATATGGATATGATCAATATAGCCAGGAGGACAATTTGAGTCCGAACCACCCACTGCAAACCAACTATTGCCACAACAAATAAGACGACGACTGTTATAAGACCAATGATGCGAATGTCATTCACTTCATCGACCATCAGAGCATTGTTCTCTCGCAAGAGGTCTCGTACTGTTTCAGCAAATCCTACCACATACATTGCTATGGCAACTGCATTTGCAATAGAGAAGATCACTCCAATGGATCCACCAAATTCTGGGCCAAGACTTCTGGAGATAAGAAAATATGCACCTCCTGTGAAACAAAAATTAATAAAATAATCATAAGTAAATAAGGGTTTAAAATATATAAATAAATTTAGGGTTATTTATGAATTCGGTAGTTTTTCACTTCATTTTGTAATCTCTATTTTATTTCAAGGACTCAGACCAGCTCCAAAGATATGTCATTTTTAACATCAGCTCCAGACAGTCCAAGTAGAATTTATTACAGTACTGTACATTCAACATCACGGAATGTTATAAGAGAACATTCCTTTTTTAGAAGGAAAGGGGCCAGGGGCGGTCCAGAGGAATCCACATGGATTATCCTAGAAAATTAACAACCCTCCTTAAGTTTTTCTAAGGAATAGGTATTGTAACCCTACCCACATTGTTCATCAGTTTTCTACCATGACAGAACTAGAATTGAATGAAAATGCTGACAACTTTTTTGGCTGCTTAAGAACTTGATAGACCCCTCTAGATTCCCCCCACCCTCCCCCCTTCTAAAAAAAATGAATGAGGTGTTCCCATCCATGTCAAGGATGACAAATTAAAAAAGAGACTAAGAGAAGCCATCTTTTCCTATTCCTCACCTCCTTTCACCTCTCCATTAGTACAAATAGCTGACATGGAAAGAGTTGTAAGTGTTGTAACAACAGCTGAAAGCAATATAATAACAGTAGCCATTCCAATCCCTGCTTGTCCAACAACCCATGACAGACGCAGGTATAACATGACGCCCCATATGTTAAGAAGGCAGCCAAACAAGACTCCTTTGATCCAGCCAAATTTGGGTGCATTGGCAGTGCTGCTTTTGATTTCCAGCTGTTGGTCATCTTCTGATTTGTCATCTTGAGAGTGTTCAACTAAGGGCTGTAAGTACATAACAAACATTAGAATATATAATTTAAAAAGCTACTATGATGAAATTTCAATGTCTCCAATTTTCACTATTTAAACACATGTTAAAGTACTTTACAAAAGAAGAAAACCAGCATTTTTCATTTCTTGTTAGCATTTTTGGCTTGAGGGATATTCAAGTTTTACGTTAATGCTAATCAGGGGGTTGATGAAATCTTATTCTCAACCCACAGTTTCCTTCAACATAGATTTCAGTATATTATCTCTGAGAGTATTTGACGAATATCATTCAAACTTTGCTCCATGCTTAGCTTGTTCACCATTAAAATATATATAAAAAGGAAACTGACATTTTACTGCACTATCAAAGGTCTTTCAATCCAGGCAAATAAGAAGTCAGTCAAAAATTTGATTTTAGTGGCACTTATAGTGGCTGCCTACTATAGAAAAATGAAGCTGCTGTGCATGCTCCTATATCTATGCAATGACAAAAAAATCTTAATATTGATTTTTACTGACTTTTACTAGGGTTTTATCGATTTCAATAAGGGTTTATTGTTTTTGATATGGTTTACCCACAGAATACCGTAATAACCACATACATGCATTAATTTATAAATGCATGCAACAATAAATCAATGTTTCCCACTGACAAGTTGTTTTTTATATACGTAAGACACATAAACCAAGCTTTATTCCTTGACATCTGTAACTTCCTAAAGAAGTCTGCAACAACCAGACAAAATGGCATGTTGGGGCAACAAAAAAAAGCAATAAAATAATACTGTTTTACAAATGAAGATAAATGTATATAGTGCCCTTTTTATGAAATATAATCAAAGTCATCAAAGGTGCTTTACATTGAGTTGTGAATGTCAGATTGGTTTTGATGCAATTTGCAAACATTAGAGATGGTTAGTATGAGGTGTAGGCCTTGAGAGTGGTCACTACCAGGGATTCTTTACGTCCTCAGTGGTTCTTTTACGTCCCTCTGATAGATATTGGTTAGTAATGATAAACTGTGGAAAGAAAGGGTCGCCATTTAAAGTGGTCATCCAAGCCACCTAAGAGTCTAACCATTTGTAGATGTTTTTACAAAGGCATTACTAATTTCTTCTCAGTTATTTTAAGACCCTGAGTGTTGGTCTGGCCAGGACTCGAACCACAACCTCCCACACGAAGGTCAGATGCTCAGACAACTGAGCCAACCGGCTGCTATTAAAAGCTATTAAAAAATAGAGAGTCCCCAGCAAAATTTGAGGGTTTTGCCCTGTCAAAGCTCAAAACGCGTATGGTTCTTCAATGAGATGTTGTAGATTTTTCAGGTCACATTGTGAGCTCAAATCGAATGTTCAAAGGTAGGCAGCCACCCTAGATCAATAAAAATCAATAAAGAAAAAATGTGTGGTATCGATTTTTACCAAATTGATCGATACCAAATGATATTAATCAAGTATATCAATAGTTACTGATTTATCAATTGGCAAAATCAGTATCGACTTAAATCGACTGTCTACGTCGGTGTAATAATCTTCATAGAAGAATATGGATTTGTAAGCTTATGTTATACCATAGTCAATAGAGCTGAATGGTTAGGAAACCTATTGTCCTATGTTTTTTTTTTTGTCTTTATCCATCGTTATATGACATTGACAGTGCACAGTAGAGGAAAAGTTTCTCCATTTGTTCACAGTATTAGGGAATATAAAAGATTTTTACCCTTAAGGAGGAGGGAAAGTGTTTTGTGCTTCACATTATGAACTGAAAAAAATTATTATGACTGTAAAATGACAGCAAGTAACGCGGAAAGCCAAAGACCATAAACCAAAGATCACAATGGACATGAAAAAATGATGTGAGACGTTGCTATGATAACATCAGAACCCTTGGTATGCCATCAAAAAGGTTTATTTAAAAAATCATAACTCAGAAACCAAATGGTGAAATTTTTTAAAAACCGGAATATTTCAACTTTGTATCGTATTCTTCTTTTTGACAAAAAAAGAAAAATTTGTGTAAAAGTGAATTCGTAAAAATCACTAAAATTTGTTCGGAATAGTTCCCTCTTACAGAATTTTTTCTTTTTTGGTTTATGGTCTTTGACTTTCTGGGTTTACTTGCTGTCATATTAAAGCCATTTTTTTAAAAATTTTATAATGTGAAGGCACACAACACTTTCCAGCCTCCTTAAAAATCGTTCTAAAATATGTATTATTTGTTAATTAATCCTATATGATTAATTAATATTAATTGTTTATTGAAAATTAAAATTGCCCTTTTTCATGCTTTCTTATTTATCATCTAGTAACTTGACTGTATCTGCGCAGAAATATTTATCTGCATGGTTTTTGGTCATGGAATGAAAGCTTTTACTTTCAAAGTGCTCATGAATGAAAATAATAAGGAAATGAGCATTTTCAGCCATACTTGCTTTGGTTCATTGTGCACCGTCAGTAACACGTGATGGTACGATTCAACATCAAAAACGAAACAATAGCTTTGTTCCAAACCATTCCACTCCATTAACTATGGTTATACTTCGATGGTTAATAGACCTTTCCCAAATTTGCTCGTATGACCACGAAACAATGGTTTGAAGTCGAGACTGGACTTGGTTCTTTTATTCATCAAGTTCAACCTCGATTTGAAACCATTGTTTCGTGACCAGTCAAGCAGATACGGGAAACGCCTATTTACAATTTGCAAAGTCATTGACCTCCTTTTAATAGAACGTATTGCTGGCGTACAAGAAAATGAGATGAAAAAAGACGTTGCCGTCCTTAAGCTTGTAGCCTCAGCCTTTATCAGCCTTTATATTATATTTACATAAGCATATCATGTTTTTTCAAAGTCAATCAAAATGGCGGGCGGCTATGACGTCACACGGCACTGCAACCCAAGCGCCATTTGTATGTGTTAAAGACTCAATAACTTACTTGAAAGGATGAATCACTCTCTAGACCTTTCCTTAGTTCTTGTAAAGTAGGTCTGTGTTTGCCTCCCGGTGTTTGTGACGAGGTATTCCGATAGAATACAGTCATTGGAAGGGCCTCATTAGTAGCGTACCCTTGAGTAAAGTTCTCGTGGTGGGGACTTTGTGGCTCAAATGGTTTCTCGCCAGATTCATTTACATCCTCCTGATGTTCAATACCATCCTTCTTTTCCTTAGCTTCATTGGTGGATGGATTCTCAGAGCCAGTGAACCCAACTTGACGAACTTTGAAGCGGTCATTTCTTTGAGTTTCGGGAGTTGCCTTCTTTTTCGTTTCTGTTGGCTTGTCTTCTAACTCACCCTCTGGACGAATATCATTTACTTGTTCGGCCATTTTCCTAGAATAGGACAGTTATAACACTGTGATAATGATAGTGATTACCCAAGCTAAACCGATCAATGATCTCTACTACAATAACAACCTAAGTGCTCCACGGCTGCGAAGCAAATGACCCTTTCGGGGGTGGGGGTGGGGGGGAGGGTGGGGGAGGAGGAGGGGACAAGTAGGCATGGGTTACTATACTCAGCTCCTGTCACGTACATTCAAAGCCTGTATCTACCATTTACCATGAAATATTCTTCAAAATTGTTTGGTCACGAAGCACCAAAACTATGAACCTTTGATATTAAAAAAAAATGAAAATGTTGGTTTGTCCTAAAAGATAAAATTTTCTCGATAACTCATGATCGACTGATACCTTGTGTTACAAACCTATTTTATTTGCATGATATATTCGTACCACAGGAATCCCATTGTGTATCTTCGTGAAAAACAAAGAATACGCGTTTACTATCGCAAAAATTTGGATGCCACAAGTACCGGGCTGTCCACAAGTTGCTCCAAAACCTCAAAAATTGTTGCTCAAAAGTTGCCAAAAAGTTGCTCAAAAGTTGCCCCAAACTCTAAAAGTTGCTCAAAAATTGCCAGAACGCTGTTAACAAAATCTTCAATTTTTCACTATAAATTGATATTTTTAATAACTTTTTGAACTTGAACATACAAAATTTTCTTGTCTTTTTCAAAACTTAATGCAAAATGTCAATATTACTTGACTACTGTTGTGTACTGCTACCTATCAAAGCATCTGTTATGCTTCTTCTTCTATCCCACAGGCAGCCCATGTTTAAATTATGCGAATTAGCTATTTTTCGGAAACTTTAAACGACAAGAAAACAACTTATATATTCTGTTATTGGGTCTGATAATTTGCTAGAACTCGGGGGAAATTACAAACAAGAATAATATTTGCTAAATATTAAAAAAGTTGCTCATATGGAAAAAAGTTGCCCGTATTAAATTGAAAAATTTGCTCATCGAAATAGTAAAAGTTGTTCAAAAGTTGCCGAGCCCTAGCCAGTGAAAAAATTAATAATTCGGCAACAATGCGAAAAAATATATATCTGGATGTCGAGTGAGAAAATAAAGCCCTTTTTTATAGTTTCCTGGTGTTTCTTACTTTGATATCACTATATCACTGAATCTATTTAGATTGAATCTATTTAGATCGTATATTTTATATAGAAATTTAATAATAAAATTTACTAGCCTTAGTTTGAAGTCTCTATCTGTTGGTTTTCATGCCCTGTGCTCAATTTCAGCGTACAGTGCCATTGGTCTCAAGGTGCCTGTTCCCCTTCCCTTACCTAAATGGTTCCCCACGAGGGCGAGAGGGCTAAACCTACTAATTGGTCAAAATGGATACAGCCAATAAAATTCTAGTAAACATCACGGTTACGGCACGGCACGGTTATGACACTGCAGAGATTTTTACATATATGCCAAAACGGCACTAGTAGCCAAAGTATTACAGTATTACGAACTTTGGATGAGAGTGATACCACTGAGACGTGAATAAATCATACACTGCAGTGTTGCAGTGTTTATTTCCTAACTTGTAAAGTAGAGCAGTTTTTGTATGACTGTGAAACGGCTCACGGCACGAACGCGGTCATGACACGGTAAGGTATGCGCCAATCCAGTCACACTGCGCGATGATTTACTCATCATCCAATCAAATGCCCGAAACACGGCACGATCATGGCGCGGACACGGTCACGCCAAAGTCGCGGCACTAAGACCAATCAAATTGCGCGAGAAAAAAATTAGGCAATTTAAATTCTAGAACACATCACGGTCACGACAAGGAACGCATACGGCACCGAGCTTTTCACAGTCATACGAAAACTGCTCTACAGTTGACTCTCCCGTAAGCGACCACCCCGGGGCATGGAGAAAGTGGTCGCTTACGGGAGATGGTCGCATACGAGAGTTAACACAGGAAGCCCAAACAATGGGAATCCTAACACAGAAAGCCTAAACCATTTATAATTTGTAGCTCGCGTGTTACAACTACTGTATTAACGATTAAACTGTTTTAGTAAACTGTGCTTTTTGTCTACAGTGCTATAATTGCCAATATTTCGTCGGGATTTTAATACCCGATGACTCTATGTTCTTAAATTTTTTATTGTTAAAGGATCTGTCATTGACTGGCTCTTAGGTGGTCGCTTACGTGAGAGGAAAAACAATGAAAAATTCCAAACTTTTAACCCCAAAGGTGGTCGCGGTCGCTTACGAGAGTGGTCGCTTACGAGAGAGTTTTTTTTACAGAGTTTATATGGGAAACAAAACGGGAAATTCAAAAAATGGTCGCTTACGGGAGATGGTCGCTTACGAGAGTGGTCGTTCAAAGAGAGTCGACTGTATATGGGTTTATTTGAGATGAAAGCTTGATAGATGATTTACATTCCAATAACGTTACATGTCATGAGATGTCTATCCATGAGCGTCATCATCTTTATTTGTTCTTTATGCAAAAGAAAAAATACACACACACACACACACACACACACACACACGATGAAGCTGCCTCAAGAATCAGGTTTTATACTGAGCGGGGCATATGATAAGAATCATAACATTTAGTGCTACTGAAATACGTATTATTTAAAAAGTTGAGAAATTATTCGAAATTTATATAAACTATAATTATACTGTAGTACAGCGTACTTCTTGCCATCAAAAGTATAGTCAGAGGAAGTTGGTAAGTTTTTGAATGTTTTAAAACTACAGCTAATCCTATTTTAATCAGTCAAAATCAAAACACTCATTAAACTCATTCACAAACCCTTCTTTTTTTGAGACAGCGGGTTTTCAGTTTGTTTTCGACTTTCGCCGAAGTACTGAGGAAGAAACCACGGTTAACAATCGGTCATCTTGACTGACTAGTTTCGAAGGAATGTGAGGTCAGCTTGCAAAAAGATTCAGTGCAAACAATCCCACGATACCCGACGGTAAACATTGTCTCCTTCATAGTTATTCAAATTCCGAGGTTAATTGGGACACTTTTTAAAAGAAAATTACCCTTTCAGACCCTAAATAACGCCATCTAGCAGCTAAAAACAGCAAATACTGAAAGACAAGGCAACAACGACCTGACAGTAAAAAAGAAATGAGACGAAACAAGAGGGTAAGAAAAAACTGTTAAATATAGTAACTCCATGTTATATATCCAATATAAATGTTGTATTTTAGTAATGAAATGCCGCGTATCAGTGAACGTATGTATTGGGGGGAAGGGAATGAAAAAAACAATAACAACGCAATAAGGAAGCTTTATTAGGATAACTATAAGACGCAATCACACATTTTTATTATGATTAAATTTATATTTCTGAGCTCCGGCTAGTTATAACTGAATATGATGATTTAACTTAGAATATTTAGAACTTTGCCTTTCCAGTTCGTGAAATTCTCTGCTAAACGTAGGCAGAAAAAATCGATTAAATTGTCTTCCTGGAAAAAGCTTATGTTCACTAGATTCTGACTGATGAAATAGTAAAAAGTATGTTGAGTGTTCTCTTTGTACAAATTTTATGAATGATTTGATTCGATTTGATTTGGTTCAAACATTTATCTTGCATTCGAAACACACTTACTTAAATTTTGGGATAGAAGTGAATTTAATAGTGAGATTTTTAAAATTTTTATCAAACAAATTGTTTTTGCCCGTTTTTTTATTCACTTATTTGTTTATTTGTTTGTATTTTTTATCAATAAAAATATCAAAATGCTGAACACGGAAGAAAGATGATCAGAAGTCCATTAGGGGAGGGGAGGGGGGGTGCGACTACAGGGGTTTTAACGTTTTAAAGGGGCTATCGAAATTGTTTTTTAATATTCATAATATTTTAATGTCAACTGAAAGTCTGTGACGTGGAGGGCCACCCAAAAAAAATTATTTCAAAATATAAAATCCCCATAGCCCTCATTACATAAATAATAAATTCTCTGTTATAGACTTCTGTCAAGATTTGCCTTTTCTGCAGTTGTTTCAATAACTGGTTACGATTTAATTTTTCAAAAACTAAATGAAAAAACTTCAGTCATTTTTGCAAACAAAACCATGAACCATAACAACAATCTCCACATAAAAAAATGTCTTTGTTTCCCCTTACGTTTAAAAAGGATCATTACATTTTATTTTTTCATAACGGTTTTTCGATTAACAGTTAGTTTTAACTATCGGATCATTCGGATCATCTGCCTCTAGAGCATGCAGACTATACCTAAACAGATACGATTGTCTTCCTTGGTGACAGAAGGACATTCGGCCTCACAGCTTCCGATCGGATTTCACCGTGTCGCGAAATAAACCGGCTTCGTGATGAAGACCCCTCTCTACCCGATTGCTGTGAATTTTTCATCGATGATTTTCTAACATCTCTGTTCATGTTACGATATAGGTTTGTTATCCCTTTACCAACATCCCCAAAGAGGTTTCAGTTTTTAATCGGGATGGTCTCCCCTAGATCCGCCACTATTGAAAGGCTTTAATGGAATATCAACGTGTTTTATTTGTTTAATATCTTAATATTTACCCAAAAGGTTCCATTAAAAGGCATCAGTGTTATGTTGTAAAGAGTAGACTGGACTGGACTGGACAAGAAGAGGCGGGCTCAGTCCACATTTTTGAAAAACCACAAAGTAAAACATAAAAACCCATCACTTTTACAGCAATGAAATTTCACATGTGCCAAATTACGTGTGAAATTTCACCTTGAAATTTGGGAGTAATTTGTCCTCCATCCTATACCAATTCAACGTGGAATTCCCTCGTCACTCAATGAGTTTTACTAGAGGGTGTCAATGGGGGTACCCCCAATTGTAAGTTAACTACTTATTTTTCGGCCAAATGTCAATTAACCGTAATAATTATACGAGTGCTGGCCATATTATCAGACCTAGTTTTAGGTGTCAGTTTAGTAATTTTTTGGCCAATTGTCAGTTAACTACTAACCCCATTGGCAACATCGTACTATAATATCATGTGAAGATACTACTGCATTGGTAATAAATAGCAAAAATCCGCTAAAATATTATTTCTTCGCTCGATGATTGTCAGTATATCAAAACAGAATATCACATGGGAGCTTGGAGATATAGATTTTATCTTATAAATCTGCTCGTGTTGAGAATATCTTAGTCCTTCGCTGCGCTCATTCGTCATTTGTACTCGAGGTAAAAATCCGTATTATAAAAACAAAACTTACAACGTTTTTCAAAGTGGCTACGGCCCTGTCTAGTGAAGAAAACATTAAAAAGTAAATTAAATTAAATTGAAATGTATAGTGATTGTCGCTGAAATCTGCATGTCTCTTATTCGAGTCCAGTCCAGTCCAGTCCAGTCCAGTCCAGTCCAGTCCAGTCCAGTCCAGTCCAGTCCA